ACGCACCTCAGAAAAGCAGACACTCAATCTTGCTGGACTCTCATGCCCAATGTGATCCATTTTTTGACACAGCCAATCAAAGTTTATTGGCCACATCTTTTTTACCATGGTAGCAGCATGCTCCAGTGACACTGTCTTCATGAGTTTCTGTGATATCATCATAATAATGTTCTGCTCATACAGCCAACAGATCCAGCGAGTTCCTCCAGAGCTGAAGTATCGTCAGGCTTCACCTCTAGAGCTCCAATTATCAAATTAGTTTTGTCTTTGTTACCACTAAAGGTTGAATCACACAGTTGACATAGACGTCTCTGTGGCGTTTTCATTAATGGACAACTATTAAATGTTGGTACATCAGTGTTTACTTGTGTTGCCAGGCAGCCTACTTGTCAGGTAACGTTCCTCCATTAACACTCATTGACTTCTCGCTTATCACCAGAATGTTTTGTTTTTAATATTCCCTGGCATTTTGGAGAATATTGCAATGACTTCATTCAGCATAAACACCTCTGTGCATGCCTGTAGCGTGCGCACTATCTACAAAGGCCTGTGCCACATCGTCTTCCGAGAGTTTGAACAAACCTTTAGTTTCCCCTCAGCAAAAGGAGGTTTGCACAGAGTGAGTGTTTCAACTCAATCAGCCTTTTTAATGACGATGCTCGCCGCCCCCCCGAGCACGCATTTTGCAAGGACACAGCTGCACCCTGGGCTCAGTACTACCCAAGATATTTGGTTTGAAGAAATACAAACAAGCCAGAGTGTCTCTTCTCTTATAGCAGAATGATGTTTGCTTCCAGAACTTTCTGTAGCTCTGACGCAGCACTGTGGAGATCTGACTACACGAGACTACACGAGACTACACGCCATATAAATACAACACAGAGGAGTCTGCTGTAGAAATTAAAACATATCTCCAGCATCTCAATCTGTCACATTACAGCCCTGTTTGTTTTCTGCCTACAGAGGTAAGTGTCAGCTGTTTGAACATTCAATACCAGCTGAATGAATTACCTCAATTTAATCCATTAGGTCTAAAATATATCTGAAAGTAAACCAGAGTTATTTCAAGCTTTCTCTTCCAGTGCTCGTCTTTATCGATTTAAGCTATTGAATTTTTATTTACTGATATATTTATAGTGCGGGGGGGCCATCATCCCATCAGCTCCAAGTCGACTGCAAAGCACTTCAGCTGAAACATAATTTGTTGATGCTCTCTCAGAGATGTATCAGGACTGTGTCTGCTCTGCTAAGTCGCTGCTCAATCACTTCCTGTCACCACTGCTTTGCATTAAAAGCTTTTATTGTGAAGCTTCTACAGGAACTTCATTGTGTTTATCACCAAAGTTATCAGCAGGTACTGACAGAGGCCACAGTGCACAGCACACTGAGAGTGTCTTATATATTTGTGTCTTACATATTTGAACGAAAGATCTTTGCTTATATAAAGATGTGAAAAATGATCTTTGTTTAGAAAAGTTGCAGAAAAACTGGGAACAATTTAGGGCTCTGTGTCTTCCTCAGGCACACATGGACACGAGGGCCTGATTTTGATTTACAAAGCAAAGGTGCAGAAAGGAGCTCGTTCAAACTATTATGTTAGGTTGGGGTGTTACACTTCACACTGTCATGGAAACAACAAGCTTGTTGCTATAAGTGATGCTGTGTTGTCTTGGATGTAAAGGTTTCTGCTCTACGTAATTTACCACAGAGTGTACATCCCAGGACTGTGTGTGTGTGTGTGTGTGTGTGTGTGCGGGTGTGTGCGGGTGTGTGTCTGTGTCCAGGGAGAGTAGTGATGTCAGTGTTTCCACGGTGATATCTTGTCTGGAGAATCTCTTGATGGTGGTGGGGGGCACCCAGATAACAAACAGCTGGGAGAGAAAACTACACACACACACGCTGCACACTCTCACACACTGTCAGAGCTCTTCACGACGATGCCAGAGGGAACTGGGAAATGTGCATGTGCTTACATTAAAGAGAGGTACTTTCCGATCAAACTGTGTGTGTATCTGTTTCGGTCCACCCAGACGAGCTGTGCAGAGCGAGCAGATGTCTTTAAGATGGCGAAGCGTTCGCCAGTGCCGTTTACTAACCATCAGCAGCTGAGACTGAGGACGGTGGACGACTCCACGTTACCTCAAATAACTTCAGAGCTGCTGCAGCTCACGGACGAGCTAAGTGAGTTGAATTCATTTAGGGAATTCTTTATTAACTATCATCGATCAAACATGTCTTAAATACATGTGTTACTTTACTTTGCTGTTTTACTAGGGCCACACAACTTATCAAAATGTTATCAAATTACAATATGGCTATGTGCAATATCCAAATTGCAGAAGCTGCAATTTTTTGATAAAGGTAAGATGTCTCACAACTCGGCATTATAAATGCACTGTGGTGCTACATAAGCCCCTTTTACACTGCCAGATTTTTGGCAAATGTTGGGATGCATTGCCGGCAAGCTGCGAGCGTTTAGACACACAGAGCTGGATTGGCGAGTTGATCCAAGGCGCCCAATTTTCTGACTTGTAGGGTAGACATATTGGTGGAACCTTTTTGGTTTAAAAAGAACAAGGCGGCCTTCTGCAACGGGAGGAGCTGTTGGTGACTTGCGGGAGGAGCTGTTGATGACGCCACACGTGCGAGCCACTGGCGGTGGATAAACAGGAAACAGCTGATAGCAGGAATTAGCGAGCAGCTAGTAGCAAGAGGGAAACACAAACCTGACAGACACTGTAAAGATGAGCAACTGGGGAGACAAGGAATTGCGCGCCCTCCTTGTCCTCGCAAACGAAGAGGCCATTAACCGTCAGATGACGGGGACGGTGAAGAACGGGCCGACTTACGAGAGAATCACCGAAGGACTGACCAGCCGCGGCTTCCCTCCCACGTCACTGTTTACGTCACACGCTGAGCTACACGTTTTGTTACTTGCTCACGCCCCCCATTGCCCCGAAAAAGGCACATTCTGTATAAACAAAAGTAGGTAGGCGGCATTTTGCTGCACTCCCCGATTTTGTTTTTATACTGCCAATGCTGAAAAAAGACTTTTGGGCTTTCCTGCAAATTTGCACAATTCCTATCTAAAAAGAGCTATAGATGCCCCGACCCACAAATTATATTCCAGATGTAAGTGAACACGCTTGATTGATATAGAACCTGGCAAAAATCCCCTCAGCATTTTTATACGTTCTTCAATATCTGCCTTTAAAAGGCAGTTCACGACGATATACTTTACTTTTACTTTAGCAAAAATTCAGCAAATGTAAATCATAATTTTTAAATTTGGAATAAAACGTCATTACTTTCCAGTATTAGCACTGATTTACATCAACAGCTGGGTGAGGTTGTGTAACAGGGCATTCAGACAATTAAAGGTTATACTTTACAAAAGAATGTCTGCATAAAAACTGTTAGAAATCCAATGGCCTGTCCGCGGGCCCTCCAAAGGTGAGTTTTGATAATTATGATATAATGAACAGCAGCTGTATTCGTTGTTGTTTAAATGGTTTACTCATACAACATATTGTGAGAAAGCTTCACTCCTCGTGGTGCCATTAATGCTCACCATCTCAAGATACAACCAGCAGCATGTTCCAAAAAAGCTTCTGTCAGACAAACAAATGAACAGTTATAACTCTGCTATGAAGCCACTGACTGCTGCTGCATCCTTTCAAACCTTCACATCTCTCCACATATTATCCATCATGTCTCTGTCCTGCATGGAAACAAACCCAGCGGGCGGCGGCCATGATGGAGGCCAGCTCCTGACCTTTTGATTGACACCTCACTGAGCCAATAGGAGCTTCCAGTGCTGTTGTAATGGCCTCAATAGCCAATCAGAGCCTGAGCTGAAGGAACACATTTCCTGTAGTTTAGAGGTATTTAATGAGCAAGTGATTGGCTCACCTCCCCCGAGGATTATGGGTCCTGTAGTCACTGGCGCTTTAAAGCTAAGCCTTAACCCCACAGTGACCCCTCAGTGAGGTCACAGACTGTTATACATGTACAGAAATGATAAACAAATGGCTCCTGTGTCGTCTTCAGGGTTAGGATTCGGGTCTTTTTTTTATCAAGTTGGGTTTTCTAGAAGTGTTTTAAACACAGTGAGCTCCTAAACAGACATTTCTGTCTGAATTGATTAGTTTTTCACTCATGATCACACATTCAGTTCATTGTTTTAACCTCTCTGAACAACACCTCTGAAAAATATGTGTAAATGTTGATTCTCTGTGATATTGTTTCTACTCTGAATTCTGACTATGTGAGGCTTCATGATATGGCCCCATTGTGTTTTACAGCTAACACCTCCCAGTTCTCCCAGTCTGAGTCATCTGCAGCAGCTTTTTTCAAGAAAATATTCAGGCGAAGATAAAATAAAAACCCTCTTATTTCAGTGTGTTGAAACTTGTAAAACTCATGACAGAAGTACTGACAGTGATTTTGACTGTTCAGTGTTACCTTAAAATGAGACCATGTATGGACATGTACTAAAATGGAACAAGAGCAGCTTTCAGTTTACTCTGAGTCATCCTTGGAGAGGCGTTTTAGGTGAACTTTAACAGGACCTTTAAGAGGTTTTAAAGGCCAACTTCAAGGATTTGGGGGTAACATTATTGCATGACAAATAATTAAATATATCACAGAGAATAAAGCAGTCCTTTCAGAAACTGATCGAGTTGTGATGCAATGATCAGCCTGTGTTCGGGCGGTTTTGAATATTCTGAAATGTTCCTAAAATATATTTCCACCTCCAGACAGTTCTGTATTAACGTGTAACACGTCGCACTGCTGTGTGAGTGAGATGAGGGAAATTGAGTATTTCTCCTTTTTCATCTCAAACCAAAATGCTACCTTCAGACAGCAGACATCTGAACAACTGTAGATCACTGTAGATAAACATAACAAACATTTTCCATTTCTCAATTGATGTATTTCACATGCAAGCAGTTTGACAGATTATTGATGATACTGACAGAATATTGAGGGAAACTTACTTGTAGCTCTCCAGCTGGCGTGCAGAGGACACAGTGAGGAAGCTGTCTGTTCTGGGGTTGTAGACCAGCGGGCCCGGCAGCAAGAAACCAGGCAGGAACCTGCCGAAGGAGTAGCTGTCCTGCTCGAAGAACATCAGCATCCCGTCCATGGACTGGATGCACAGGGAGTGGTGACCTGAGAGAGAGACGGGGAGATCATCCAGTCAGTCTTATCCCAAACTGCAAAACACTGTTGAAAAGACAACTTTGCCGGCCTCTCAACAACGTTAAGATCTGATTGAAAAGTGTAAGATGAAAAGATGGATTGTTTATGAATTGTAAACATTTTCAGATTTATAAGTTATTAAAAATAATCTTAACTGCAGCATGAAAAGTTCACAACAGAGATACTCAATTTGCTTTGTCTGGGGCCATATTTGTAAAGTGACAGGAGGTCAGGCGGCAGACACAGCAGCCCTGCACACGACACAAAGGCGTTTCTAGGATTTAAGGACATTAGGGGCTCAGCCCAGACCTCTGTAGCGGGGTGCATGGTATCCAGCTCTGGCACTATTCTTAATAAACAAGCTCTATTTTGATGCTTTTTAATGTACTCTGGCACCTAATGTGTGTTAAAGGTGCAATTCCCAGTGTGAATCAGTTTATTTTTATTGTGAATTAGGGGCCAGATAATGGTCCAACCCCAAAAACAGACACTCAAAATGTGGCAGCAGGTGTCATGGCGAGCTGCCACAGATCAACTAATTTGTGGGAAAGCCTGTATAATATATTTTACTCTTGTTAAAAACAGGTATTACATGTTTTGGTTCCATCTTGTGTTTTGTGACGACTCAAACTTTTGAGTATTTAAACACCAACGATCCTGAAACACGCTCATGGCTTCTGTTTTATTTCAGTCGTGATGTCGTGTGGTGCTGCGAGGTGTGTTTCTCCCTCTGGCTGAATCTGATATCTCCATTAACACCTCCACACAGACACACACACCTGGCTCTGGGTATTAACACGCACTAGAGTGTGTGTTTGTTAGGAGAGGCCTGATGGAGGACACATTAAGCCCTAACACACACAAACACACACACAGTGACACACAGGGCCATAAAGCAGTGGGGCTGTGTGACCAGAGAACTATAATTAGGCCTCAACGCGCTATTAAAACTCACACTGCCATCAACTAGAGGTCAGAAGGACAGCCACCTACAGCGCAGCACACACTCACACACACTCAACATCTATCACCAAGGATTTAGACAGAAAAGCCGCCCTCTCCTACACACCTATTCTGTGTAAACACGTGTGTGTGTAAGTGATGAGTGCAGCTCAGGGTGGCCGTTTACACACTGAAGGACAACGTCTCTCGCACCTCGTCCTCACACACAGCGAGCCAGTAAACTCTGGTGGGTGGAGCAGATACACGACGAGCCGTGTCGCAGAGCGAGGAGGGGATGTGCTTTTTTTTTTTTTTTTTTTTTTTTTTTGGTGCTGTTGTGATTAATCACTCTGCAAATGAGCCAGCGTCTGCGTCATTTATTCATAACTAATACATTTTAAATCACTTACTCAGATTATTTCTGTGGTTTGGACGCTGCTGTGGATCATAAAAGATGAGCCGCGTCTCAACCTCATAAATGAGTCTCTTGTTGTCCATGTCGACTACTGAGTGGAGGGATAATTAGTGCATGGATTCTTGAGTTATGGTGAAAAATGTGTTTTGTGAGGTCACAGTGACCTTTGACCTTTCACCACCAAATTCAAATAAGTTCATCATAAAATCCAAGTGGATGTCTGACGATATCGTGTTCATGAGAATGTGAGGGGCGACTGCCAGACAAACCAAGAACACATTGCCTCTGGCCACGACTGCGAGAAAAACTAAACCCGATGTGTCACATCGCAGACACACTGATAATGTATGACTGCATATTGAATCGATATACATTTGTTTTGTCTGTTGCATCTGGTACTTCAGTTAAAAAAAGGAAAACCTATCTGACACACAAGCCCTTGAATTCTTCAGGCCTCCTTTGCATTTTTACACAGAACCAAATGACGGTGGCATCATGTCGTCCATGAGTCTTCCTTGAGTTAGCTGCTAATTGCTAACAGCTACTTTTCATATCCACGCAATGGGTCGCATGCATAACACGTCATCAACACATCATGCACGTGCTGCCCATGATCCCGTCCCGCAGATTGTCCTGTTTATACAGACACCATTTCGGCACTGTTATAACCTCCTGTGATGGATATAAGTGAGATAACCCTGTACCTTGTATACGGAGCAGCAAGGAGGCATAAGGGCGTGAATTTCCCACCCTAAAGAGGCAGTGTAAAAGGGGCTCAGTGGACATTTATGAGTGTCTGCTGTCTTTTACTGTGTAACTGTCCTTAATGAGGAAAATCTCTGGATTACACAAGCTCGGGCCAAATGTTGTATTGACAGTGTCTCTTAGCACGAGGGTTGTGATTTATGATTCTGCTCATTTCTGATAGAGTTAAACACAAGAAAGATCCAGTGTGTCAGATTTAGGGAGATTTTGTGGTGTCTAGTGGTGACAACCGCAGATTACAACCAGTTGAAACTTATCCTGGTTCGTATTCCTTCAGTGGTTCAGAGGTTTTACCGGGATCTGAATTATATCCTCCTCTCCAAAACAAACAGAACAGCTGATTTAAAACAGGAAAAAAACTTTCAATTTAAAGCTAAATCCGACTTTACTTGCAGCTGATTTCAGCCGCAGTGATTTGTCCTACAACATATTTTGTGACTCTTTGGGCAATTTTTTTTATTTAATATAACCTGCTTTGTTTTGTCAGGACTGCAGAAACAGCTGGATACTTGAGGAGTCGACCTTCCTCCCAGACAAACACTCGTCAGATATCTGGTGGTCGTTTCCCTCCCTGAAAAGCAGCGCGAGGGTCAGAACAACACACACTCAGACTGCGAAAAGTGCTGCGTGCTGAAAATGAGAGCCAGGCCGTGCCATTATAGCAACAATGCACGTGTAATTTCACACGCCCACGCCCAGGTATAACGTGTCAAAGAGCCCTGTATGAGAGCGTCGCCACTCAGACACAGCGGAGGAAACGGGCCTGTATTAGTGTCATTAATAAGACATGTTGAACAAGCACACGGAGCAGCCAACAAAGCACAGAGGCTGGCCGCACACTGCAGCCGGCACAGCCCCGCCTCCGAGTGTGTAGGTACATGTGGATGAGTGTGTGTGTTTGTGTGTGTGTGTGTGGAGCAGGGAGTGTGTGCCAATTTGTTTTGTTCACGAGGGCCTCTGTGTGTGATTATGTGTGAGTATGTGTCTATATGCGTCTGACCAAAGCCTGAAAAGGCCAGTCCACGCTCAGTGTGTGTGTGTGTGTGTGTGTGTGTGTGTGTGTGGCCTGAATGTGACCCAAACCCAAAGGCGGCCCAGCTATTAGAGCAGTATTAGTACAGAGCTGCTGCTATTACAGCGCCTACAGCACTGCTAAATGGCTGCTATTATAGACCTACACACACACACACGCACACACACACACACATACACACACACTCACGTGTAAGAGCAGACACGACTTGCAAAAACACTTCCTCACACACACTTACACACACTCATTCTAAAGCCAAACACACTTTGAACATTGGAGAGCAGAGCGCTGTCACACACTGTCTGCTGAAGACACACACACACACACACACACACACACACACACAAAACTACAGATTCGGACATTTGGTTGGTCCGACATCTGAGCTACCACCAAGTGTGTGTGTGTGTGTGTGTGTGTGTGAACTATTCTACATTTGTTTGTACATGAGTGTTGCAAGTGTCTGCAAATCATTACGAGCGCGCTGAAGCAAATCAGCCGTGAGATCAGCTCATTTTCATGTAAACTGTGTGAAACAGTGAGGAGAGCTTGAGCAGCGAGCAGCTTCCCCAACTCAAACAACTCGTATGAGCTCAACGAGGACGAGACAAATGAAGCGACCTCCTCTGTGTCCACGATGTTGTCTGATGGTTGAGATACACGGAGCGCGACGTGTCACGTAGGCGGGGCGGAGCAGGACTCTGTCGGGCGTGGTTGGTGCTGGCTTCACTGTGATTGTATTGAGTTTTGTCAGGTGATAATGCAGCTGATTACAGAGGGGTTGGAGGCGTAAGCTAATTAACTGGATCATTTTAACAACAGGATGCACCAATGCACCACACACACACACATCCACCAAGGGAGCAGGAAAAGTTCTGAGTTACAGCAGTGGTTGTGAGTTGAATCTGAGGGGCTGCAAGATTAGTAGTAGACTGGGAGAAAGGAAAAAAAGGAAACTCTTCATGTTCAGCCTATTTTCCTCGAGATACAGATTCATATTGTCTGCGTTTAACTATCTGGGTCTGAGTGAAACCATTAACAGGGTCTGCAGCAGCACCAGCAGTGCAATTTGGTTACTGAAATTCAGACTGTAAATTTCCGCTTTGACACCATTTTTACTGTTTAGGTCTGAACTTCGACTTTGCTGAAGTTCTACTTTGTCAGATCCTTATCTTGTTATCGTGATGCTGCAAAAAGGAAATGATTTGAAGAGAGTCACCTGCTTTACTGAAGACTACTGAAACCTAAAGGTTGAGTTTTAAAAATAATTTTAAGCATTTGAAATATCTTGCTGTGCAGGGTTTTTCTGTGGTTCAAGCTGAGAAGCTGGTCACACACATCTCCGTGCTGCTGAAGCGTCCTGGAGGTCTAAACTGAATCGCTACCAGATCCGTGGCTGCTGCTTCTGGAGCTGAACTCTGACCTCCCTCTGAGAGCTGGGTAAAGAGAGGGAATTTCCCTGCAAGGGGCGACACAGGACCCCATTCATTCAAATTTAATAACTGCTATTCAACAGCCTGCACTGCCATCTAGTGGTGACAGCAGGGAAGGGCAGGAGGAAAGGAGAGGAGAGGAGAGGAGAGGAGAGGAGAGGAGAGGAGAGGAGAGATGTGTCTCTCCCTCGCCTCTTAGCTGCGCCCTCGTAAGACACAAGGGAGAGATATGAGGATAAGATGTGAGGAGGGAGGAAACAAGAGACATGTCTTTAGAGAAATGAGACCTCTTTTCCTCTGAAGTGTCATGTGAAGCGACGTCCATTTCTGATGACGGCAGCAGCTGATCAGCTGTCAGTCAGTTTTATTAACAGCTGAAGAGACTTTTAATGGTGTCTGTGTCTGTCCACATCATGTAATATATGCATACATATATTACATGATGTGGCAGCTCTAGCAGTGGCAGAGCAGCAGAGTTTTCTCTGTTTAATGAACACCTGCAGATGTGTTTATACTGTGTACTGTGAGCCAGTCAGAGGCACAAAAAGCTTTGCATCTGTATTTCCTGATATTCTGATTGTAGGTTCATTATCTAATAACCCAGAATATCATTATGGTGTCTTTAAAACACTGGAAATTATGTATCAGGCCAAATGTTTCAAGGAAAATTAAATTTCTGTTCATCAACCCGACGCTCAGGACTGATCAGCCTCAGTGTGACTGAATGGAAATGACGGTCGGTGATGTAAAAAGTGTTTTGCACTGACAGACAGACTCTCTGATTAGAACTGTCTCTGTAATAAAAACTGATGAGCAATAACAGATTGTGAAGAAATATCTTTCTAATAAATTACAAAAGTTGTTTTTGGTACTTTTCCTGTTCAGATTTTTAACTCGATGGTGAATCAGAAACAAGATTGGGAGTGATGAGTTTAATCTCTTATCTGTTTTCCCTCCGATAACAAACTCCACTGATGTTGTGGCGAATCAGATCAGTCCGATCAGCTGCAACATCCAATCAATAACTGATAATAAATAAGACGGTGTGACGGTCGGTAAAAGACCTCCACAAAGGCTACACTCATGTATCCTCCCCTCCCTCTCCTCGACTCCTCAGAGTGTATTTAAGGACTTGAGACGTCCTTCAAGATGGCGGTTCATATCAATATCTGGGTCATGTGATCAATGATAGAGGAGTTGAGGAGGGATTTTGGGATGAACCCCATCTGTCTTTCTATATGTGTGCATGTGTTACAGTGAGTCATTAGTACATGTGTTTCAGTGTGTGGCTGTATGGGTGTGTGTGCACGCATTTATGTTCAAATGTCGACATGTGTCCATCTAAACTTCCAAGTATGTGTGCATGCGTGTTTCTATGTGTCAGGGACTAAGACTGCACGTGTGTGTGTGTGTGTGTGTGTGTGTGTGTGTGTGTGTGTGTGTGTGTTGGACAGAGAGAGACGGAGCACGAGAGCTCGCATGACATCTTCACATGCTGCTGTACAGTGTGTCGCCACCAGAAAACAGCACGTGGAAACTCACGAACACACTTCCAGGATCATGGTACGCACTACACACGTGCACTCAGCACAGGCCAAGGTATTGGTTTAATGGGCCCACACTGTTCTTTCTATCAATCAAACACACACACACACACACACAGACTCTGTAAACATGGAGTGAATGAAGGGTCCATCATGCCAGGCCACAGAGTCTGACAATTTCTCTCCTCTCTCTCACACACACACACACACACACACACACACACACTCCTTGACAATACAGCCTTTATTTGGAAATGCCATTTTCTCTGCTTTAAAGGGGGTTCCCCGTGAGTGTGTCTGTCTGCCTGTGTGACTGAGTGAGTGAGTGTGTGTATGTGTGTGTGTGTGTGTGTGTGTGTGTGTGTGTGTGTGTGTGTTGTTCTTGGATCCTGACGACTCGAGGGCTTTCCCCTACTTGGTTTTTCCAAAAGCCCAATTGACTGGAAAGAGCGAGCAGCTATATGACCCCTCTGTCTCTCACTCTCTCTCCTCTTACAGACTTTTATAGTTTTATGTAGTTGTCCAGAGCTGCCAGTTGACGCTGCTGCCAAGGCACATGCACACATTAACACACACACACACACACACACTTACTAATATACTTGTGAGGACTCTCACTGACATAACACGTATCCTGGCCCATGACTCCAACCCTACGCATCACACCTGAGGCCCCGTCTACACGTATACAGATATTTTATAAAACAGATGTTTTTCCCTTTTAAGAAATTATCTGTCCACATGACATTCGATTAACAAAATATCTCCATCCACACTAGAATGCAGAGTCACCTCTAAACGCTTGCCTAAAAGTTCAGAGATTTTCAACTTAAAGCGCTCAGCTTGGAGCGGCTGCACAAAAAAGGCAGAGCGCTTTGAAATAAGATGAGAGCAGCACTTTTTCTCTGCATGCAGCCACATACTCTCACTTCTCATTAGGAGCAACTGGAAAAGACGCTGACATTAAAGAAAACGCTATGTGGGCACAGGCCGTTATGAGAACTGTATTTCTACAGTTAAAGGCCAGTACGACTAATTTATGGTGCAGCCGCTGCATCGTCAACCGCACCCTGCAATTATTTCACATTAAAAGCCTCATGTTAAGAAGTGAAGAGATTCTGTCCACAGGAGGGAAACAGAAACAGGAAGTACTGAGTAAAAAAATGAATATTTATATTTTTTCATGATGATACCAAGAGATGTAATTATGCACAAACATTCCTGTGTGTCTCCTGGCTGTTATAAATCTCTCCTGATCTGTTCTCCAACAGTCCGAAGATATACTTAAATCCCAGAGCTGGGCCGTGTTACTGACCTGTATATGAATGACGTTTTTTTCTGATCACCTGAGCGAGTACCAGCCCCTGGTTGCAAAAAGGGATTTGTATTTGCTTAGTAAGTTTGAATGTGGTTAGACTGTTTACACTCACTTAGACAAACACAAACTAGAGACCATCTTGTGATGAGATCACTCCGGCAGCGATACAGAGATCTGCGACTCAAAACGAACGTGGGCAAGGGGCGTATAGTGGCGGGGCACTCCCTACCTCCTGCCCTTTTGCTCAGACCACACCCATCTTAAAACTGTGTCCTTATTTTGATCTCAACTACGCATCTGTAAGGTTTTGTGAGTGCAGCTTGCACAGTTGCAAAACTATCGTGGTGAAAAAATCTGTCTGTAGTCACACAGACTTAAACACCTGGCAAAATACTCGTGGCAGCTTCTGAGGTAGTTCTCACGATTACAGGTGCCTCCAGGACCACCTTTTGCCATGATGATACACACACACACACACACGATACCAGCTGTTGCAATGTTGTTGCAGCTGGTAAAGAAAGACTCTGGTACAGAGGGTGTTCAGTTGGCAAAATGCTCTCCCACCTCAGCTGTAACATGCAGCCAAATACAGCGTTTAAAATGTCCATCATACCTGTGACTCCTCCAAAGGTGCCGTAGGTCATGTTGCAGGCTGTTCTCTGCAGGTTGTGCTCATAAACCAACTTCAGCTGGTACTGGTCACCATGCTCCACATTCCCTGCAGTGCCTGCACCCACACATCAGAAAACATCAGTATGCTGAGTTTGCGTGTGAAAGTTACTTAACATTAAGTCATTCATCACTCATTCAAAGTGCGAGGCAACACAGAGAAGACGACAGAAGAAGCAGTCAGCTGTTTGTGTTTGTGTGTATGTGTGTTACCTGACACAGAGTAGACTGACAGCTTCCTGGGGTGAAGAACAGCCAGATGAAGAAGCTCTGAACACCTGAGAGGAGAAGAAAAAGTCATCTGTTAATATTAATAAGAATAAGAATAATAAACTTTACATATACAGTGCTTTACATGGTTGATCCCAGATTTAAAATAATGCAGGATTTAGGCAAACAGAATGAGGCAATTTCAAGAAACACAAAGAAACAGAAACCCAAACAAACAAGATAAACACCACCTACAAACTGTTCCACAACAGTTATAATACAACTACAATCAGAACCATCTCTGACAGAAAAACAATGGGATGATATTTCCTCTCCAAAGTCCAAACAGAGTTTCACTGTGATCCATCTAATGTGACTCCGCGAGGACGTGAGAGGTCAGAGGTCACCCACAGAGCTGCAGCCATGCAGCAGCTGAGGACACCTCAGCAGGGCAGATGCTTCCTGTGTTCTCAGCAAAGGGTGGTATTCATTCATATTTTAACTCATACTTCTAAAATAATTACTATAACAGCTGGTGGATTGGTTTTGGTTTGAGGTGTGGATGACGGTCTCAGTGATGCTGATCCTAGATTTTCACTTATTTACTTTACCACAAAGCCACAGTGGAGGAATCCATCCACTCTCTGGACGCAGAACAACTGCTGTCTCACTAACTTTTTCACCCGCTGTTGTAATGTTTGTTGAGAGAAGAACAACAAGGGAGGAGGAAACTGGATCCCACAAGTTTTCTTTCTTCCGTGGAAAACCACTCAAGTCAGTGCTGAAACAAAACCTTTCACCATCTGCCCACCTCCGTCTGCCCTGACAATATTTACAACGTGCCTCTCTGTCGAGGGCCGGCCTCCAAAATGCCCACCCGTCTCTGAAGAATGCTGTGCCGAAAACCGCAGGTAACTAAACACGACGTCTTCCAAACAGACTGATTTAGTTGGATTCTGCTTCCAGCGTGATGACGTGGGAAGCCTTCGAGGCAAACCACCAGAACTTTTCCCAGAAACCTCGCTCTCTGGAAGGTTCCTGTGTACCCACAGCAAGATGATGGGAGGTATCGTGTTCAGATCGATGGCTGAAGTAAAACTGCCGGGGTGAAGGGTTCAGTGCTCGTGTAGTTTAACAGACAGGGGAAACTTGGTTTGATTCTTGTTGGCGGGGCTCATCTGGCTCAAACATACAGTTTAATGTTGTGAGATTCTTCTGCCAGCTTCACCAGGTGATCACACCAAAAACATTCTCTAAAAACACACATGGGTCTGTATTGGTGGGGACGTGTTGTTCTGGTACTGGTGGAACAACAACACACAAAGGTTTGAGACATAGCTGGTGGAGTGTGAAGGCTAATCAGACGCCCAGATACTGCACAGCTGTTTGTTTTTACGATCAGGATGGATTTTAAAATCCTGGAAATGTCACCAAGGTGACAACAGTTTCGTCCCCTGCTGCAACAACTGGTAAAAAGTAGAATTATTCTGCAGGACTGTATCTTTCAAAGCTCTGAGGCTTCATTCATGACATTGACATTTAAATTATGAATCAGCACCTGAATGCTGTAAGGCTTTTTTTTTCCTGTCTATTCACCCTGTTTAAACCAAGTATTTCTGTACATCTGCAGAGAGGGCGAGACTTGCGCACGAGGGCTCCACAACGGAAAGTAGACTTTGAGTTACTTAGCTAAGAAGGGGGAACGAGCACACGAAGAGTACCTCTCCTGCAGACACCAGCGGCCTGGAGGAAAAAGAAGCACCCCCTGCTTTTGGACTGCAATGCAATGATGATGCAGCAAAACCCAAAACAAGAGGCAGCTGCTAGAAACAAACCCTGATCACATGTGTCTGCACATTTTATTACAAAATCTAAATAAGACAACAGTTACCTGATGACATGCTGCTGTGCCTCCAGAAAAACACTGATATCTCTGCTTATAAAAACTCCTCCTCCAACCTCCACAAGCACATTGAAGTAAGGTGAAAATGTAGTTAGCTAGCTAACGTTAGCTATATTAACCTTTAAAGGAGCAGTGTGTCAGATTTAGTGGCGTCTAGCAGTGAGGACTTAACAGATTACAACCAGCTGAAACTTCTCCTGGTCAGAATTCCTTCAGTGTTCACTGATCAGGAGCTGAATTATCCACAGAGGTCTCCTCGTCTCAGAAACAAACAGGTGATTTAAACAGGTAAAAACACTGAATGAAGCAGTTTCACATTACAAATCAGCATTTTTCCAACGCTGCTCATTGCAGATCAGCTTTTTAAGAGGCACATACAAAAACATAAATGTCCCTATCTAGAGCCAGTGTTTGGTTTGTCCGTTCTGGGCTACTGTAGAAACACGTCGGTGCAACATGGTGATCTCTGTAGACGAGGACCTGCTCTACATTTTTGCAAATGCATCCCCCTAAATCCGACACACTGGAGCTTTAATGTGTTATGTTAATCTTTGATGTTATCATAAGGAAAAGTGGGAGATTGTTCATATCTTAATTGTATAAGCTATCTTTAACTGTTTGATTAGCCTACCTGCTCTACTTCATTAAAAAGAAAAAGTATAATCAGCTAGTGCACTTCTTTTATTCAATATTTCCTGAGGGACTGTTCATTATATATGAGAGGAGAGCGGAGGGTGCAAAAAGGGAGAGGCATGTTAAATAATTGTTTAAGCACTGGGGAGTGACAACAAATTTCAATTGTTTTGTGCTGTATTTATTTTACTGCAGATTTTCCAAGGAAACATTCCTTCACGAATTTTGAAGGCATGATACTGTTAAAAACTGCCAAAATCACACCATTTATCAGAGCCAGAAACTGTAAAAACATATATTATCATTGGATTTCCACATTTCCGATGGTCCTCTGACACATCGTGTGACAAATGCTTCTGTAAGCGAAAAATCAAAACCAAATCCGATCTTAAAATATTGATATTTCATCAAAATCACTTTCATTTTTTTTTTAATTTGGCAAAAAATAAACCGTTTGCACGACAACAGTGAAACTCTGAGGCTTTTTTCAACTACAGGATTTCGTCTTCAACTTTTACCTTTAAAACATCAAAAGGTAGGTTTTAAAAATCTAATAAACTAATTTATGACGGGGGGATGGTCATACATTTCCCCGCAGTCACTCAGGGAGGCTCAAGGAAAAATATTTGTAGCTTCCAGGACAACATTTAAAACAAACAAAAAAACGGTCACACCCCTGCAACCCCCCCTCCTCTGATAAATTAAGAACAGTCCCTTATAACCATTTATTTTTTACTACCACCAGTAGCTACAGTTTTACTTTTACTTGTGGTTCCTCAAATTATAATCGTCACTTTTGCATGAGTCATTTTTTATGGGAGTAAATATCCTTCTACCTGAGCATCAGCCCTTCACCCTCCTCTGCCTCACTGTTTCACATTCACCTCTCCAAACATCACATAAAGGTCCCTTTGTATCACCTGTTTGTTGATGCAGTAACCAGCTGACAGGAAATAAGCAGGGACCAAAGCTGTTGCCTCGGCAACAGAACTCCGGTTGCTAGGAAACGACATCGCTGTTCCGCGGGACTTCCGGTCCAGCCCCTGCAGCTAATGTAAACAGCCTCAGTCCTCTACACGGTGGGGAAATGGCTAAGTTAGTGTTAGGACCGTGTTGCTCGGTGGTCGGATGCTCCCTCAGACCAGGGACAAACTTAATGTCTCAGATTAAAGTCTTCCGCTTTCCTAAAGACACTCAGCAGCGCGAGGCGTGGACCGCTGCGGTCAGGCGGGAGAACTGGACACCGTCGGTGAACTCCAGAGTCTGCAGCACTCACTTCATCACCGGTAAGTCCCGCTGTGTGTCCGGGGATGAGAGGGACAGACACACACACTGACATGTCCCTCTGTGGACTGACGGCTAGCTACCGTTAGCTTGTTGAAGCTAACAGTAGCTAACCCACAGAGTGACGTGTGTGTGTGTGTGTGTGTGTGTGTGTACCGTGAGGTAAATGAACGATGGGCACGGTTGGCAGTCAAACTACAGACCATGTTGAATCATCACTGGAGACATTTTTCTTGTCTAAGGTCCTCCACCCTGTAGAGTGAATATAAACTCTGCATCCTGATCCCAGGATACAGTTACAGGAACATATCGTTCATATTATTTTAGACCTGTAAGATTGTAACAGCTTGTGGTCACTAGTAAGCTGTGTCTAAATCCATGCTGCACATAAATGTAGTTTAAAGGTCCAGTGTGTTAGATTTAGGGCAGGGAAACCCAACTTACTCTGCCCAGAGGCCAATTTTGCACAAGACACTACAGCCCCAACAGATCAGGTGTATGCAGAGGTGTTTCTAGGATTTGGGGACATTCAGAGCTTGGCCTGGATCTCTTCTGGGGGGTCCAAGGGATCCTCACTTGGCACTTGTTTAAGCTTTGATGTGTTTAATGCCCTCTGGTACCATAGTTATATATTATAAAAATCCCAGTGTCAATCAATTTATTTTTATTGTGAATTAGAAAATGGTCGGGGCCAGGGCCACCGTGCACATTCTCAGGGACCACAGTTGGCCGTAAGTTGAGTGTCACTGATTTGAGAGGATGTAGTGGTGTCTAGCGGTGAGGACTACACACTGCAACCAGCTGAAACTTCTCCTGGTTAGAATTCCTTCAGTGTTCACTGTTCAGGAGGTTTTTAACCAGGAGCTTAATGATGCACAGACGTCTCTGTCTCTCTAAAACAAACAAAACTCTGATTTTAACGTGTAAAAACACTAAATAATAGTCATGTTTTAAAAAAATCTGTTTTTTCCAACACTGCTTGTCGCTGAGGGCCTGCTACATACGGTGGCCAACACAAAAATGCACTAAATGTCCTGATAGAGTCAGTGTTTGGTTTGTCCATTCTGGGCTACTGTAGAAACACAGTGGTGCAACATGTTGATCTCTGTAGACGAGGACCTGCTCCCTATGTAGATATAAACGGCTCATTCTGAGGTTACAAAAACATATTGATTCTTATGTTCATCAGATTAAACACTAAAGAAAACAGACTGATTATATTATATTCCATTCCTGCCATCAAATCCTCCTAAATCCTACACACTGACCTTTAAGTCTTTTTCTCACCTCATGCAGCTGTTAGATTTTAACTGCTGTAAATTCTTCAGCCCAACATCCAAATTTACTTCCACAAAATAAAACATAAGAATATAGGCTAATCATCTCCTGTTGTATGTTTCATAGGGAGGCCGTCAGATGACCCTCTCCATCCTGACTACGCCCCATCAAAGCTGCTTCACAAACCTCAGAGAGTGAAAGGAACGGAGAGATACTGTAAGTCAGTGAAGCGAGCGGCTTCAGCACCAACACATTCTGAGGCGGGGCCTGTCACTGTGATGCAGATTGAACCTGAAGGCCTCAGATACAAGAGCACATCAGTGGGGACAGATCTGTCCATGAAGGACATTGAGGACCTGCTCAGTGAAAACGCTGCCCTGAAAAACTACATCAAAAAACTGGAGACTAAACTGAAAGTTTGCGAGTAGAGCAGAACACCTCTGCTGGGTTTCAGTCATTCTTCAGCTGTGATGTGTTTTACATCTCAACAGCCTGGACACTCAAAACCACCACAGCTCCACCTGACAACCAGCTCTGTGCTGTGTGCATGAAACTGCACCTTGACCTCACTCAGCTGGTTTTGTGTTACCAGTCCAGGTGTAGTTCTGGTTTTATTTCTGCCATTTTCCATGACTGACTGAATGTTATGTTGCAGTATCTGAAATGTCTGTCATGTTCTCGAGATGGACAGTGTATCAGAGAGAATATGACTCTTCAACAGTGTAAGATGCATCTTAGATTTCAGTGAAATCTTCATAGAGCGACAAACATCTCTCAGTGCCTGGGCATGAACACATCCACAGTATCAATCAATCAGAGTTCCTAATAGAATAAGTCCTGTCACTTTCCATCCCAAAGCTTGGGGTGAATGTGCAAGTGACAAAGTCATTACACAGCCATCTGGCACTGATATCCTGGAGGAGGGAGACACGGTCCTTTTTGACAGAGGACTCAACCTCCCAGAATACTTTGCTACAAAAGGTGAGAGGCTCCATGTACGAGCATCGACATGTAACAAAACACAGCTAACAGGTATCGAGCTGTCGCCAGATGTCACAGGCAGAAATCCATGTGACATGCTCATCTGGCAGATTAAAGACCTCACATTTTGAAAAATAACCTGTCACTCAGCACAGTGAAGTGCAGAACAAGTGACAGCACGACTGCAATCACTGAAATATTACTGGATTGTGCTGCTTTGTCAAACCTTGACAAACCCCTTGTATGTTTAAAAGGATAGTTTGGATTTTTTTTGATTGTTTGAGGTACTTATCTACAGACAGTGTGTTACCAACAGTAGATGTCAGTCAGCACACCCCTAGTTTGGAGAAATCTGACACAGAAGCTAAGCAATGAACTGCTGTGGACGGGAGCAGCAACAAAAGCTATTATAGCCACCAAAATCCTAACCAGTTTAAATGTGTGTTATATGTAGAATATTTCACTGCTTTACCTTCTGTCAGAAAGAAAATGAATCCGTTATATCGCTCTCTTCAAAGCCAGACTCCATTGAGAAAAACAGTGATTTAACATCACTGAACACAGGAGCTGCTGCTCCACTGCTACCACCTCTGTTTGTTTGTGTTCTTGTGTGACTTTAGTGTTTAAAAAGGTTACTTCACAAAACCCACAATAACACAAACAAACTCACTGATGGAGGCAGCGGTCGACCAGCAGCTCCTGTGTTAGTGAGCTTAAATGACTGTTTCTGTCAATGGAGTCTGGCTTTGACAAGAGCAGAGATAGTGAACTGAAGCTGTTGACTGCTTTACATCAGAACAAGCTGTCTGACAGAACGGTGAAAATACTCTCAGTATAGCGTACACTTCAACTGATATTGATTTTTTTATGTGTCTAAAACACATTTTGCTGCTGTCCCCGTCCACAGCCAAACTGTCAATACTGCTGCCTCTCCGAAGTATCTCATACAACACTGCTCCAAAAAACCTGAACTATCCCTTTAAGATCAACCGCCAGGAAGATTAACTTTAAATACGGCAAGCTTCCCCACTCGTAGGGTCTGGATCATTTATCAAATATTTGTAAATGTCTCATGTAAAAGAGAACACTGAACACAATTTGGATGTTTTTTTAAATGTCGGGGTCATCCTAATTTTCTAACATGAATTTGGGAACTGTTTATTGTTCATGTGGATGTCTGAGATGAATAAAGTGTCTACAGCCGATGTAGATGGTTTCAGTTTTGATGGTTTCAGTTTTGAAATGTCTGCCTACCTGTTTTTTTTTTTTGTTTGTTTTTTCCAACCTGTCATGTTATTATCTGGGACATGTAACTGCCTCTGATTGGTTGTTCCTACATCACATATCCTATTGTTTGTTGATGAAGACTTAGAGTGGTGGAAACATGTTGGCTCTTTTAACGATTCAGCTTATGATATTGAAAGAAATGCACCTGGACAGAGAATCTCAATTTTATTTTAGTTATTTTTCAACAGGGAGAGTTTTTAAACAAACTTCCATTTTAAAAAATGTTTTCAAAGAGACGTCTCCTCAGCTGGATTTGTAATTCAAGAACAGAGAAGCCATCTTAGTGTGAGTGACTGTAGCCTGTGTGGGTTTAATCACAGGTGTGGGTCAGGTCGCTGGACTTCTATGAACGGGTGCAGCTTTGACTGAGACGTAATGACGGGTAACGGGTCGGTTCTGGTACTGAGCTTTACGGGTATGGACGGGTTTTCAAAAATAGAGACTGCTGGAAAAATAATTCGATTTTCACATCTAACTCAGTGAATCGAGGGTTTATTTGGACCAAAGGCACAAACAGCGTCAGCAGTTCCAGTGTGCTGAAAGTGACTAGTGCTAGTGAAGCTTTGAGGCTTGAGGCATTTTGAAGTTACAAAAATGGGGTTTACCAAAGGGCACGGGGTTCAGTGTGTTCCATTTCCCGCTTAGCTAAGTATGAAGTGGATCAAACTGCCCACTAAGTGACATATCAGCACGATCCTGTCATCCCACATCATTCCTTTCCTCCCTCTATCCCTCCTCTTCCCCTCTGTCACATACTTTTGGCTGTGAGGGGTCACTTAATCATCGTCGCTCCAACGCAAGTCATTTTTACTGGAGGCATTTGCACATTACACTTGGCCTTGACTCTGAGGGGGTCAACTCTGAAGATCTAATTATGCAGTGAAATAACAAAGCAGGATGGGGCCCTTGGGTCCCAACAACTATGCTAGCAACTCAGTGGTTAGCCCGACATTATAAACACAACTATGTTTGGGCCGCTGGGTGGCTGATAGATCGTGCTAAATCATGACGGGGGAGAGAACCTCCTGACATGGTGGTTTTGGGTTAGCATGCATCGCAGGGGAATAAAAAGACATGTTAATGTGGTGGTAAGAAACAGCAGGGATGGTTTTTGTATGAATGAAAAAGCGGTGTGGTGAGTTATGAATGGGTGTTTCTGCCCCGCACTTTAAAGTCAGGCTATATTATAAGCTATACGATGACTGCGTATAATTCACAGAAGGTCAAGACACAGAGTTAAATAAAGACCTGAGACTGCTTCCAGCACAGCAGCACACATATGAGACACAAACAGAGGTAAGGCTGTCAGGGTGGCCGCAGTGCACACAGCATCTGTCCTGTAATCCACTGCCTCCCAACCTGGGTGTCCCAACCTCTACTGGGGGGCGCCAAAACTTCAAGGGGGTTCACGAGGCCTTCTTGACTTTAAATAGTGTTGAGGCCCAGACACACCAAACCAACTTCATAAAACTAGGAGAAACGAAAACCAACAACTGTGTCGCCTCATGTCACCTGTGTTTGAGCCAAAAAGCTGCACATGATCACATCATAAAGACTTAAGATGATGGCCAACCAGCACGTACACTCTGCACCTGCTGAGAGGAAATGAGTCTCCACAGCAGCAGACGGCCGTCGTCTGTATCGATCATTGACAAAGGGAAACAGGAAGAGCATCTTGATGCTAGTTAGCCAGTTAGCACATGAACAACACAATCAGAGCATATTTACCGTGCACCAGTGAACAATAACACAAACCATCAGGAAACGTTTCTGCTAAAGAGAAAAATAATCTGACCTCATGGAACAAGTTGGTTTGGTCTCACTCCCTCTGGACTTTAGCTCCTCCTTTACTCACTGACACTTCTCTGCTCCTCACCTGAGCTCAGCTGACTGTCAGAGTGATGTCATTCACTGACTGCTGAATCGGCCAAAAAAAAGGGCCAACAGTGCGGGACACACCGCACAGAACAGACACTCTGTGTCTTGTCACCCTGCTGGTGTTTGTAGCAGAGCATAAATGCGCGACTCTCCCTTTGCAAAGAATTTGAAAATACGTTGACCTCAGGCAAAAAATGCTTTGGTGGACACGGCCCTGATAAGTGCAGGTGTGGAAGCTATAAATGGATCAATGTCCCTGTGACTATCCGTCACAACAAACAGTGAGAGTGATTAAACAAGTGAAAACATTAAAACACTTTAAATTCATTGTCATTGTTTTTTATCGCTGTAAACTGTTTTTTGGGTTGTCTCCACTTAATGATGTTTACATACTAAAAGATTCATCAGTTAATTAAAAACTTAAAATAATAAAGTGAATATGGTGTATGTGTGTTAGCTGCAGCCAACAAATGGTGCAAGATTTGATGTTTTTATTTGCATCTTTGCATCTTTAATTCATCAGAGAAGTATAATCTGTTATCTGTCCTGAGACACTGAGGCAGAGCTCTGTCTTCGTGAGACAGTGATTTAAATTTGCTTCCTGGTGCTCGTAGCCTTAAGCTAATGCCAATTTGACCTACTAAACATTAACGCCGTATCACGTACAGGAAGGCAGCCAGAGAGGGAGGGAGGAGGGGAGGCAGAGGGAGATTAGCAGCACCATCAATGATCCTGGTGTCACAGCACAGATCTGTAGTCACTTCATTTATCAGGAGCGGCAACGTGTTAAGACTGAAACCAGCAGGAGAACCAGTGATATCCACACTGTCTAAACACTAACGTATCACGTAACGTATTACTACAACTACAACTAGTGACACAACTTCCTGTGTCCTACGTTCATTTCAACATCTGAAATGTACCCTCTGTCTAATCAGAATTTTTGTCCAATTAATCACAGTGTCAAGTCAAATGTAATATTTTACGTACAACACTCTACAGTCCACCACAGCTGCAGTACATCAGTCTGTTTCAACCCTTCATCAATCCCGGTCTGTGCGGTCTACTTACGAGACAAACTTGCCCACTTCCACCTGGATGATGGCATTTTGAAGCTGGACCTCCAGCAGCTGGGCGTCAGCCACTCCTCCCTCACTGGACTTATTGGTGTGTGGGGAGAAGATCCGCAGCATTCCCATGTAGCTGCCCACCACCACCTTATCTGTAACGTTATAAACACAGAGGACTGTTACTGTATGAAGTAAGTCAGGAGGGAAGTTTTTACCCTGACAGCAGCCACTCAAGAGCTCAAAGGGCCTGAACAGCATTACATTATTCTTATTTATTCATCAGCATAAAGTTTGACAATTTAAATGTGGACTATAATAAGTCTTAGCTACCCAGTCTGAGGTTAACTGATAAAATAAGGGGTGACGTCTTCACACAGAGAACAGAGCAGAGATTTGTTGTATCTTCCATGAGCTGTGCCGACATTTTGGCTTCTAGGTTTGAACACTGACACTAACTGTGCTCAGGCTGCAACATGAAGCAATCTCCAGATATCTGGAGATTAAATCAGATAAAAACAGATATCTGATTTAAATTACTGACAGATTGTTTTTTGTGTCTTTTGTCATCAGATTAAAGGTTTTGTGTTTAGTCTGAGATTATTCTGCGTCTCTTCCCTGACGTGGCCACAGTTCAGGTCCTGCAGTAAAGATGATGTGTGGTGGTTGGTGTGTCGCTTCCTGGCTTCACACTGACCATGTCCGCTGCCACTGTTGTCCACGTCTCCGACACACAGGCATCCCTGGTCAAACTCCTCGCCCTCGCCAAGCGCTGCCGACCACCAATCACGGGCCTTGAACAGAGACATGCTGCCTCTGGTTGGACAGAGAGAGAAAGAGGGTTACATCTCTTCAGCTGAGAACGTGACGACAACAGATGTCTGTTTTCTCTGTGGTGTCGCTTTTCAATGAAATATAGTCCTTTAATTCATAATGTGGAACAATATATAAAGACTGACTGACTGACAGATGAACAAAGGCACAAAGAGTGTGTAGCTGGGTGGTTCGGTGCCTTGCTGTAGGGCACCACAGCAGAAAGGGCAAGTTTCATCAGCTGGCCCATCAGGCTCTCAGTGCTCTATGCACCACACTGACACCTGCAGCCAATCAGAGACCAGAAGACGAGTCACATGACCCCAGGATTGTGAGTATAAGAGTTGTTGGGGAATGAGGGGGGGGGGCAAGCAGCTTTTCTACTTGCTAAGTGCTGAGCAGGTGGAACGGGCAGCTAATCCACAAAGGGAATCCCTCCTGTCTCCAGTACAATACAGACTTGAGCGCTGTTACAGGAGTATTACACCTACTACACACACATTTCATAAAAGAGTAAAAGGCTCTGATGGATGCAGGCTGAGAGGGAAGAACAGAGATTCTGTTTCACCTGAAAATGATGAGACTTTAAAACACATCAAACATTTGCTTCGTTCACAGGCACAAAGAGTTGTCTGATTCTCCTGTGACGATACAGGACTGTTAGCTGCAGCAGTAATAATTCTTCTCCCAGTGACAGCAGAGAGATGAGCAGGAAGACATGATGGTGCAGATCTCTGTGCAGCTACTCACGTATTATTACAGCAGCTTCATTTCTAACAGTCTAATGGACTCATGGTATTATCCTGTGACTGCCTGCTTGGCTTTCTGCTTTGCTGACTTTCCTCAGCACACCCTGTTTTACATCACCTGCACCTTTTACAGCTCGTCTTCACCAGTTTAAATCTGTAAGATCTGCCTCAACTAACTCTATCTGCAGGAATGAAGCAGGTTTATTTCACTAAAGGAAGACTGAGTTTGTCTTGTCATGATGATAAACAAGGGTCAGCTGGGGAATACATGTTCAGTCCCCTGTGATGGAGACATCCTGGCCTCCCTGTAAGCTCTGAGATGTTGCTGCTGATCAACACCACTTCATGTCAAACCTTCAAAATGTTTTTAAATCCAGTGTCACATCAAATTTACGAGCAGTTTTCAACTGATATTGGCCTCTCACAGATATATCAGTATCAGTGTATTTGATGTCTGATACACATCGATGTGAACACTTTTTTTAATTTATTTATTTTTTTATCAGAATTTAATGCAGAAAAAGAAGTTTGGGATCATCTGATGTCATTTTCAACAGTAAAGTTTATTGTTAAACTGTAAAAATTTCCCACCTCCATTTCATACCTTTGTTACAACTGTTTGACTGCAAACAATGTGTGTTTGTGTAAACATATGTGTTGTATAAGTAATATCGGCTGATATATCAACATCACAATTTTTTTGCTCCTTAACAAAGATATTGGCCCCAAAAATCCAGTATTAGTTGAGATCTAGAGTTCACAGTGCACCATCTGTAGCTGCTGGTTTTTATTACAAACTTACTAATGTTACCAGGATGTGACGGTGTATATGACATGTTTTGCTCTTGATATTTAGAGAGAAAAAAGGTCATTTTGTGGCGACTTTGTAGTATTAAATATCACTTCTTGAGAACTGGGACAAAACTTCAGTTTGTTTATTTAAATTTATTTTTTTTTCACTATTTAATTGAGCTGGAAAATATATTTTAAAGATCATAGTCTTGACTATTAAACTTCATAATGTGCCGGCCTTCTAGTGATTTATTTTTTTCCTGAATATCATACATGATGGATGTCAGAGGTCAGAGCTGACAGAGTTGACAAAAAGTTATATATTTATTAATTTCACACCAGTCATCGTAAGGAACCATTTTATTTTTCAAAGTTGCTAAAATTTCTCTTAATGATCATCGAAATACTCATTCTTATTCAGTTTGGATTTTGAAGGGTTGGGGGTTGTCCTGTTATGGCTGAGACACATCTGACAGCAATATTATTTAATGAATTTATAAAGAAAAAGAAAAATCTTAGTGGTACCTGAGCAACATTCACACCTTTTTGGAAACCAGGCAGTGAGACAGGAGTCCTTGAGATACTGCGACCCTCATTTATACCCAATTAAATTATGTTTTTGTAGAAATCTGACAGAGTTGACACAAATCTGGGACACATCTTTAGAGGGCCAACATATTTATGAAAAGGCTATTTTAAAACAAAGATGATTAGAGCAGTATATTTTTACACCAGTGTTATCAGTACGTAGTTAGTTTTAGATTCTGAAGGCTTTAATAAACACATTTTTTAATTGTTTAGTGTTGTCTGCAGATGTTTTCTGGCAGTTCTGACAATGTAAAAATTAAATTAATTAATTTATTTACATATATTTTATTTTAATCATTTTTTCATTCATATCAGTCCTTTAAAAATAATGTTTCAGCCCAGAAATAAAATTAGTGTGTTGATAAGTTATAATTTAAAGGGCTTTTATTGCAGGACATGATTTGTCCCAGTTCTCAGCTCCCAGTCAGCCCAGTCTGAAGCCACAGCACAGACTCGGTGAGTAGAAAAAGAAATTAACGAGTTAAACAACTGTAACTTTGAGTCCTGTGGGGCTTTGATGGCACGTGAGCAGTGAGCAGACACCTGTGGGTTTCTAATGTTGAACCCAGGAGACTCATGTTGTGTTCAATGACTCCTCTGAGACTGAGCAACACACACATTACAGTGAACCTCTCACACACCTTCAGCAGCTCTTTAAACCTCTCACACACCGAGTCTCAGATGAATTAGCTCGCCGCTAACGTCAAGCCGCTGAATTAACTTTAGCTTAGGCGGCTAATTAGCCTGCTAGCTCTGCAACTTACCTGGACAGTAACGTTAGCTAGCAGGTGAAGCGCGGAGTCGCTCCGCTCGTGACAAAAACACACTCCGGGTTATTTCCGGGTCTTTCTTACCTTCACACACACGAGCCGGTCCGTTAGAGATGAAGGTCTGTGACTCCTCTTCACACAAAAATCACATTTCTCATCTTCTGCTTGCAGCCATCGTCCTGTTGTCATGGCACTGACGCTCAACGGAGAAGCCGGGCGGTTGTGCGCAGGAGCGGAAATAGGTGGGTTGCCGGGAAACTGAGTTCAGCCAATGATTTCCATGTACGAAGAGAGATTTGTGTCAATATTATCTTTGTAAACAGATTGGCAATCCACATGTTAAAGTGTAGTCTGTAAATATTAAACACCTTTCACAAATATACACACAGAGAAGATTGTTAACTCTAAATATAAAACTGATTTTCAAATATTTGGAGTTTAATTTGTTTCAAAATATTATTTGTATGAACAAAGGAACAACCTGTGTGTAAATGTGTAACCAGTAAATATATTTAAAAAAAATCCAGAAATACAGAAAAAAATTGAAAACTCACAAATATATTTTGCGAATCTAAAAAAAGACCTGCAAATACATTAATATATTCCAATAATTAAAAAATAAAATGCAAATCCTTAAGCATAGAAAGTTTTAAGTGTGAGGAGGATACTCACAAATGCTTTATATATATTTGTAAAATAATTAAACATATTCACTGGTTTGTTTCAATTTTGTAAAATGTGTGTATTTGCAGATCTGCTGATTTTTTTGTGTGTGAGGGGAAAATGTTTTATATTTACAAATTACATATTAACACACATTGTTGATGTGTTTGCACAAATAATACTGAGACACATCGACCTCCATATGCAGCTGGTGCTGTGAGTAAATAAGTACGACTTTTTTAAATACAGATTAGATTAAACATGCCATACAGACATGTGCTGGCTCAGTTCAAACCTATAATGTTGATCCATATTTGAAAATTATAGTTCCATTCAACCTGTGAAAACCTGATATGCAGATACATTTCTCTACAGCACACTGCTGTTACATTCTGTCTTTCCATTTTATCTTGTATTTTAACTTGCATTACTTTATATCTTTATATATAGCTTCTCTTTTTGTTTATCCTTATGTGATTATTATTATTATTATTATTAGTTATACACATTTAGTTTTCAATACCAAAAGAGTGTAGGAACCAAGGTTTTTTTTTTAATTACAGTGAATGCTTTTGCAGCTGATGTTCACTTTACAAATAAATAACTTCAATAGTGATGATAACAAAAAATAATAAGTAAATAAATAAAGGTTATATGTGACAGTTTGTGGCAAAAGATTTATGCCTTCACTAAGGGAAATAAATGTGACTGGAACAAAAGCATGATATATGTTCATAATATTATAAGTTATAAATAATTATGATTAGAATAAAATAATTAGGTTAAGTTATAAATCTCGGCTTCAACAGGCTGCATGGGTGGGGACAGAAATCCGTCTCATGAAATCCCACTTCAGTGTGTGTTCACAAAGTGTTCTGTGCTGCACACATTCACTTCCAGTTTTCATAATGTGCTCTAATTATATGTTTTACTATTTATATTGAAAAGTTATGGGCTCGTCCGGGATTTGAACCCGGGACCTCTCGCACCCTAAGCGAGAATCATACCCCTAGACCAACGAGCCACATGCCATGTACACATGACCATGGGTTCCAGACTGTACTGTACATGCCACGTTGTCTGCACACTGTGCTGCTGCTGGTGTCCTGTGATCCTCAGACCTCCACTGAACAGTTTCTGGTGTGTGAGCGCCACCTACAGGCGCCTCACTGAACTGCAGCAGACTCAGACTCAGACTCAGACTCAGCTGCAGCAATGTTAGATCATCTCAGTGGAAGAAGTCTGATACTGAACTTCAGTTCAATCACATAACCTCAGGACCTTCTTCCCGCATCACATATCTATATATATTTAAAATATGTTTGCACTGGGACCTCCCACAGTTTGGAGTGGTGTCATATTTATTCATGACTATATTGGATTAGTTAAATTAACGTGTTCACATCAGTCTCTATTAACACGTGTCTTTCTGGACTTTATTCTTTTTATTTTTAACTCCATGAACCTTCAAACTTCCCCTAGAATATAATTTTGCATCCTCCTGCCGAGCTCTTCCATTTAAACACTCACATTATACATATTTCAACAGTATTTTATTTTATTTGTTCTATTCTATATTTATGTTTGTTGTCTAACCATCAAAACACCGAAATAAATTCCTTGTTTGTTAAAACCTACTCGGTGATAAACCGGATAAGACTGATAGCATGTTGATCTGGAGCTGTCATTAATTTAAAATATAATTCTTAGATATTTTCAGTCTTTCTCTTCAAGTGCAATCAGCTATTTATTAAATACTGCAAACCACTTTTTTATTAGTGCAACACTCGACTTATTTAATGCAACCCACAATTCATTTTACATGTGCAACAGCTCGATACAGCCTGTTCTACACTATTTATTTCTGATTTTATGAATATAGCACCCCTCATCTCGTTACTTCTAATACTACTCTATCTCAGTTCTCGTCTTGTATTCTTGAAAATAATCTGATGTGATATAATCTGCAGACTAATATCTGACAAGCTGTTTTATTTTACTTCCACAGAAACTAAAATGTAAAACCGGCTCAATGATCACTCAGCACTGACAGCAGTTATTCACTTTTTTTTTCTGACCCGGGATTTGGGCTTAGTGTGACAATAATTTGGGCTCGTCCGGGATTTGAACCCGGGACCTCTCGCACCCTAAGCGAGAATCATACCCCTAGACCAACGAGCCACGTTCAGTACACCTTCCCCAACAATTTTTGGACTCACTAAATGCCACGTTGGCCAAACATATCTTTTTTTTCCCAACAGCTGTTTGCACACCCCTTCAGATGGACTTGTCGTCAGTGAGCGCCATCTGCAGGACATGGATGGTACTGCAGCCAAACCTGGAGCCAAACTGAGTCTTGAAACTTCATGTTGCTTTAAACAGTGTGATCCAGTCCAAGCAAAACTGTAGTTTATGTCACATCACTGATCCTCAGCCTCGTGTATGCACATCAGCATCTCAACAATTATTATAAATCATTTGTAAAAGTACCACAAATAAACCTTTTGTATGAACTGCTACCTCACCTTGTACTTTGTACCTTCTGACATGGTCTCCAATAAAACTGGAATATTACACTTATTATTCGTTTTATTTATCTGACAGCTGCAGTAACTATTCAGATTCAGTTGTGACATTCGAACCATGATTATATGATTTGTTATATTATCATACTGTGATATTATCCTCTATCACAGCATGTGTCATTTTATATAGGAAACCTGTGTATTGTTTTTCCATTGATACATACATACATGTATTGTAATTTAGTACGTCATGTTTTCAGGACGTCATGCTGAGAAACAATTACGTAAAACAATTAGAGTAGTTTTTATGACTGCTCACACACTAAAATTAAAGTTATTGAAACTCGACACAGGAGGAGCCAAACATCTGCCCTGATCTGCACAACTATATTCACACTCTCTGCCTCACACTTTTTGTAAAACACCAGACACACTCCTCCACATTAGACACATCACAAACTGAGAGCCTGTGTGTGTTTGCTGCTGAGCATCTGCCACTGAGACACCTCACTCAGTTAGTGATCACCTGAACTCACGCACACGTGAAGACACATGTAACCAATCAGATCACACAGAAGTCAGAGCTTCAGCACTGTAAACAGGAGGCAGGTTTGCTCTCTGGTGTGAACAATGATGGAGGATGATTTTGGAGAAAGAGTTGGAGGAGGAGGTGTTTGAGGAAGAGGAGGAACAGGAGGAGACAGAGGAGGATTAGAGGTGTGGCCAGATGCACATCACAGACAGGATGGACAGTAACTGCAGAACTGTGTTTTGTTTGTTCAGTGTTGAGAATTAACAGATTTGTGTTCATATTTACAGCAAGCTGCAAATAAAAATGTCAAAGAAACAGAAATAGTGTTTTTATACTCAGCATGTATCATTAGAAAAGTAGAAACGTTAAAAATATTTTAGATGTCGCACGGCTGTGTGCAGATGTCAGAGGAAAGAAATATTTATTTGGTGTTTGTTGTAAAGTTTGGAGGACAAAGCATCATTTTAAGAAGAGTTTATAAGGTTTTGAATGTAGTTCTCGCTTTTGTAAGTGATGGAAGATGTTTTGTATGTTGTGTATGTTTCTGGTTTTTGTGTTTGGAGTTCGGACAAACAGAGGCCTGGTTTTAGGAACTGTGTTTTTGTAATAGTGAAAAACTGGAAATAAGCAGTTGGGAATGTGTTTCAATTTCTGGTGAATTCAGGGAACAAAATACCTGACAGATCAAATCACACACACATATTCAGTAAATGCAGTTTTGACATGAATCAGTGATTTACAGCATTGTCAGTGACTGTCTAATAAAACCATAAACAGGAAAGGCTCATTAGATCCTCATGAGTTACTCATATCTCCATATAAACTGCATTAAAACCAATCTCTGGTGGTTTTGTGTAGACCCAGTGCATTTTTAAAGACTGTCCTTCCTTTGTTGCCGTACTGTGTGCCATTGTTCTCTTGCTATTGTATGTAGTATTTGTGCTCCACATCATGTGACATGGTTAAAACATTTGTAAAAATGAAATGAAATAAAGAAACCTTACGTAATGCACCTTTAAACACCATTAAAGCCAGAGCTCTACGGTGGTGAGGGAGGGTCCATGTTAGTCGCTGCAGTGGCTCACAAAATGACATTTTTTATTGCATTTTTAAAATCACACCATCACAGAAAGAGAAGGCCATCTGCTTATAAAAATACTACACACCGGTCTGACTGAAACAATAAACATTTCTACAGAACGGCCACATATACAGTATGACATTATTCCCCGCTTTACTGATATATATTTAAATATTTCTGTCTCCCGTTTGTTAGACATAAACTCAACGATAAGAAAAGGCAACATGCAGGTGATAGCAGCACATTTAAAACATAACAAGAACATTCAACACAAAACCTCCCAAAGAGAAACCCTACGATGAATATGTTAGAGGTAGTGCTCACTTTAAACCACAGAATAAGAAGGTGATGAGTGTTACTGAGCCACAGGCAGCAGGCTGTTTGCTTCTCTTCACTGGAACTGAACTTAAATATACTTTAGATATCATGTAACTGTGCAGCACCTCTTCTTACTTTGGTTCAGGACGGTCACTGTTGTAACTCCTGCTAATGACCACTAGAGGTCATCTTCAGAATTCCCTCTTTAATCTCAAACACTGGCGTGGAGAACACGGAGTCAGCTACCAAGAGAAGTTCAGAAATCCAAAATACCAGAAATGTTTCAAGAGTAAAGAGCTGCTTCGTCTTCGTCTTCGTCTTCGTCCTCTGTGTGTTGATATGATGCCGACTAGCACAGCAGGGTTAAAACAAAAGGCTGATGTAAACATGGCTTTTCTGTGTGACAATGTGTTCCTACGTCCACAAATTACAGGCCACGTGTGTCCAGGCCGATTCTCCCGTACACAGGGTTTAAAGTGCGTTTCTTCTCATCATCTGAATCTATTTTCCCCGTAAAACAAATACTGCATCAGCGGTTGTTACGATGCTTCTATCGTCTCATATATTTAGATTATTACTATAAATTACATTTTCAAAGGTTGTTTATTTTGTAATTTACTTCCACACAACTCTGCTTCTGTAGACTGGCTCACCTGTCACCGTCTGACCAGGTGCACTACAGAGTCACATGATCAGAGTAAGGGAGGTGACATGTTGGGATAGCTCCAAAGAAAACACTGTCAGTCTGTGGGCACCTGCTTTCTGTCGTACTACTCTCACCATATCAGAAATAAGTGTGTAAACAGCAGTGGGAACAATAACGTCCGAATGATAAAGGTGGAGTGAGTTTTATCATAAAAGGACTCAGAGAGAAAATCAGAAACAATTCAAACACACAGAGACGTGCTGCTGCTGCTGCTGTGTGGACTTTAAAACAGTTTCTTTCAGGAAGTAAAATGTCTTTAAAAAAGGCTTTTAAAGGGCGAGGTGGGGGGTGGAGGGGGTGGAGGGGGTGGAGGAGATACAGAGGTGGAGGAAGACCCAGGTGGGATCCAAAGAGGGTGGGGTGTTTCAACCAGAAACAGAGGTTTAGGTTGGTGTTAGAAGTCTAACGGGCCCAGAGCTGAAGGGGCTGATGGGAGGAGAGGAGTGGAGTGGAGGGGGTGGAGTTATAGAACCTTCTGGAGGATGGCGTTGGGCACTTCCAGAGTCTCGTCCTTCACCAGGACGATGTCATAAGAGTCCAGATATTTGTCCAGCCGCTCCTCCACCTGCAGAGAGAGACCAGAGGAAAAACTGTCAGGAGCGTCTTCAGGTCCTGATCAGATGGAGCAACTACCAAACTACCTGTCCTTAGCTTCCTTAGCGTGGCTGCTATTTTGCTGCGAAGGAAACACAGATCTGTGCCTTAAAATCTGTGTAAAAAATGGACAAGCGGAGTGCACTTGTAGCTAAGGACATACGAGAGCTGGACAGTGCTGTGAGTAATGACCCCGCCCACATTTAAGAGGACTTGGTTCATGTCTGTGGGGATTACTTTTGGTCCTAAAGGTACTACACCTAAAGTTGTGGGTGGAAGCAAGGCGCACGTGTCATGGCTGTCTGTACCTTGTCGTTGAGGAAGCCGATCTTGAGGATGTTCTCCACGTTGGGCACGCCGTCGGCCATGCTGAGGTCTCCCAGTGAGTCGCCCAATAGGATGATGTTGCAGTATTCCTTCAGCTGTTTGAAGTACTCCGTGTTCCGCAGGGCGCCGTCGTGTTTGTTGTACACGTGGATCAGCTCACCTTTGAAACCCTTCAGGACGCCCTGTGAGATGAGGAGCAGACCCAACCAGTACAGTGAGACATTATGATGTGGAGCTTTAAACAAACGGAGGAGCAGAGGCGTCTATTGTTCCTGCAGCACTCACGTTTTCGTCAAAGTCCATGAAGTTGGAGACGACCTTGACGTTGGGGTGGTAGACTCCTGCCTGACGGATTAGTTCCTCCAGGACGTCACCCAGGCCGGCGGAGAAGATGAAGACGGGCACATCGTGCTGATGGAGGCGGTCGAAGAACTGCTCGTAGCCTTCTCTGAAACCAGGCAGACGCAGAGAGACATCAGTTAACACAGTAAACTACAGTAACCCTGAGTGTGCAGGTGAGGTGGAGGAACAGGTACCTGAGTGCAGCGTCAGACTCTCTCACCACCTCTGCCAGTTTGTCTCTCTCTAGCCGCTGCTCCACCAGCAGCGAGTGAGACTTGAAATACCTGCAAACACACACACACACACGTTTTTAGGTCCACTGTGTTGATCGTGTACGCTGCTGTTTGTGAGCAGTAACCCAAACATGACTGTGTGTTTGTTACATAAAGTGTTTGTGTGCGTGTCTCACCACTCCACCATGAACGGGTATTTCTCCTCCATGGTGAGATGAGGGTCGATCTCAATGGGATAATATTTATTCTTCAGCTGCAGCAGCTTCTGTCTGCACTCCTCCGTCACCAGCTTACAGTTATCGATGATGTCTGCACAGAGAAGGACACTGATGTCATTTATGTGTCAAACAGGCAAAAAATACAACAAATAGCAGCAATTCCAGAGTTCAGGCAGCATGGACATTTAAAACTCCAAAGCTGGGTCGAATCCAGTCCTCTGACAGTAAAGGACGTCTGCATCAAAGATTATTAGATGACAGTTAGATGGAAACTTATTTATTTAACGTCCAAATCTCTACCAGGCCACGCTCTTCTTTGGAACTCTGTCACTTCCTATTGATTAACTGCAGAAACATTTTGGGGACATGCATTAATGGCTCCGTTAAAAAAATTCCACTGAGTTTGTTGATGTCGCCCATTTTTTGTATTTGTAGTGCCCCCTAGTGGTCAATTTAAATAAAACTTTCAGGATATGTTCGTGGCACCTCGCAAGATATTCTTTGCAAGTTTTATGATGATTGGCCCAAAGGTCGTAGAGTTATCTGCTGAGCCACGCCCCCTCTTAAGTTGGTGATAAAATTCTGAAAAGAATCTCAGATCATTCTGCTGATTTCAGGTCTACTGTCAAATATTTTGGTGACATCTTTAAAACCGAGATGAAAGAGAAAACATTGTGAATACAGTACAAATAACATAATCCTGAAGATCACTGTGAGCTCACCGTTAAACTGATCTGAACACATTTCACACAAGAATCAGCAGCAGATTGATATTCAGTACAAAGATCTGATAGATCTGATAGAAATGTCTTGTTTCCTTGTTGTACTCACTGTGACACGTCGGGCAGCGTTTGCCGTTGACGGCGAACTTGCTTAACGTCATGTCGAAGTCTGTGATGACCTGCAACAGAGCCAAGAGGGTTTGGTTTATCAGATCTGGAGGAATACAGGAAATGAGCTTCAAAACTTAACAAGAGGTCCTGCTGCCTGTGAAGCACCAAACTGACTGAGAATGTTTGAAATCAACTGTTCAAAGACTTAGTGAGCTTCAGGACCACCAGATGGCGCTGTTTGACCCAAACACCCACTGATAGGGACTTGATGTTCTACCTGAAGTTTGGAAGCTCCTCCTTTGATGAGGCCACAGATGATCTGCTCCACCCTCTCAGGGTCCCTCATGTGCACCGTCGTCTTCTCAAACTGAGGCATCTGAAGGAGAGACACACAGAGAGACAGCTCATTATAGGGTTAAACAATCGTCTGATGTCGACTTGGCAAACAGGAAAATGTAAAGACACAGCATGAGAGACGATCAGCAGCTCCTGAACAGCTTCAAGAGATTCCTGACACACTTTGAGGTTTACCTTTCAGTGGGATACAGGTTCCTACAGCTTCAGGCAAGTTAGAGTCAAGATTTTTAACGACTCTTTTGATGCCACTCACACATTCGTTGGTGAGTTTTCGAAGTAATTTTGTGTTTTTCACTCTGCATGTAGGATCCCACTGCCTTGATTCCCATCGTGCAGAGTTTTTTAAACTCTTTGCTGTACACTGAGCCTCTTGTGCATTGCTTTGTACTTCTTTCAGCCATGCTGCGTGATTTCAGAAGTGAATTCAATGGCTTTTAAGCTTTTATAAGGTTTTTTGGGAGCCCTGGCATGAAGAGAACGACGACAGCACTGAGGAGGAGTTTGTGTTGAGAACTATTTGTATAAAGGTTCAATTTGAAGTGTGCAGTGACAAAGTGTGTGTGTTGAAGATCATATGTCAACCTCGAATTACAGGTATTTGTCTTAAGCCTTGAGTTATTTGCACACACTGTTCCCTGGCGTGGACACACACGCACACGCACACACACTCCTGGAGGGAGTTTGAAACAGCTGATGTTTGGAATCTCGTCGGTGTTGTGTAACGAGCTGAGCGGCCACACAGACAGCCACAGCAACAGTCTGCAGACAGCAGGTGAACTCATGTCGTCATCATGTTGACATCAGTTCTGCTCGACTGCTGCGAAATGGACAAATCTGTTCCCACAGCTTCCTCTGTGATGCAAGTTAAAGACATTAGTGTACGCTTGAGCCACGTATTGAGTCGTAGGTTACCGGTATTTAACAGAACACAGACTGAGTCTGTTGGTGATGATGGGTGAACATTCAGTAAAGCTGGCTGATGTTGTGTTTCAGTTTTGGGAGTCAAACTACAGAATGGACTCAATGCTGAGCTGATTATAATTTAAAATGACTAAAATGTAAAATAATTGAGGATTATAAGTTAGAGTATAAGTTAGAGTATAAGGGGACACGCCCCTCTCAATTATATAACATGCATTTATCCCCCCAGTAAAAACACGACAGAAGCAGAGGACTTTTATTTTGACAAAAGTAAAGACATTTACTGCTCAGTTCTGCCTGCGGTGCGTTCACAGACCCACCAAAACTCCCGAATTTAGAGACAGGACATAGAATGACACAAAGGGACACACAGGCATCTAACAGAAAAAAAAAAAAGTATATCTAGACAGATATAAAAATATATAAAAGCTCTTTCTGATTGAGCAACGTTGACAGTTGAGGGTTGCAGCAGGGACATATAGTTGATGTAGACTGTGCTGATGAAGAGCAAACAACTGCCTACACACACACACACGACCTCCCCACCCCCTACACAAGCACACACACACACACACACACACACCCACACAACTTCCCTCCGTCTTATATAATCAGCTCCAGGCTGTGTAGCACCTCATGATTCACTGTGATCCCAAAGAAACATGACACCCAGAACATGAAGTAAAAATAAAACCTTGTTCCTTTATCAGCCTCCTCACTAATAAACACATCACTCACACACACACAAACAAACACACACATACTTATCTCAGCGTGCACAAGCAACTTTCTAAACCTCATATCTGCTGAGTGAAGACTTTGTAGAAGAAGAGAAGTGGAGAAAACCATCTCATTCTCGGACCGCCAGACTTGAATTTGTTTTCAAATAACATGTTTTGACTGTGTCGCCGCAGGGACAATGTTTGCAAACACGCCCCGCCTGCACAGAGTCACACAGCCGGTGGTTTTGCAACAAATATGAGGTGTTACAGGTTGTGTTCAACAGACGGCCGTGAAGTTCAAACCTTCTTCTGAACAAAGTGAATCTTCTGAAAACATGAAACAATGCTTCAAATATAAAACACAACGGATCTGTTGAGATGAGCTGCATCAACATTTTGCACAATTTAACAAGTCGTGAGCTTTTTAGTGAGAGCAACATTACAATCTACCAGAAGTAGAGTTTGTTTGAGAGAATTTTTGGAATACCATAACAAGCAGCAAACACTGAGGTCAAGGGTCAAAGCATCCTCATAACAGTTGACAGTCAGCGAGGTTAATTACCGTTTACAGCAAGAATCTGTGGCACTTTTAACAGTTACTATGAACCAAAAATGGCTCCAGCTTGGAGTATAATCAATAATACACAAACACACACACACACACACACAAACACACACACACACACACACTAACTCACCGCGGGTCTGTTGTGTCAGCTGAAACAGAAGTGAGGAAAAGATTGTGAGGCTGCAGAGGGTTTTTATATCTACAGCAACAGACAGGGAGGGAGGGGGCGTCGCCCAAAATGTATCTGACAACATAGCCCCTCCCCCTGCCTGGACAGAGAGACCCACACACACACACACACAATGTACACACACACACACACACACACACACACACACACAGAGTTGAGTATAAATAGACATGGAATGGGGCCGCTGGAGGAAAAGTGACATTTGTAATATAGCCTTGTTCCAGTAATGTGACCTCTGACCCCTGAAAAAGGACCCTTTAAAATCAATTGGGGCAGGGGGGTCGCTTCAGCATTACAACTGCTGAGCACACACATTTTAACACACACAACATACACACACACCCCTCCCCCCACACATGTAGAAACAGTGCATGAAAGGTCACAGGGGTCAAGGTTCAGCGTGAGCGTCAGGCTGTTTGGTCTTACAATGGTCAGTTATACATGATGCACACACAGCTGATGGCCTCACACACACACACACACACACACACACACACACACACACACACACACACACAATCTACAGTATCTGATGCTCATCTCTCTGCTGCTGTAATATTCAGCTGACACATGTAGAAACATGAACGCTGCAGCACATTTTTACGTTTCTAGGTGAGACGGAACATGTCAATCATTTTCTTTCAATTGCACATGAGCACACACACCTAGACACACTCCCATACACACCTACACACTCCCACACTGACACACAGTTAAGTATTCCTGTTGAGCAGGTTCTTGTAATAAAGCCTGGGAGTGGTCTCACGACCCAAATGTGTCAACTCCAACATAACTCTTACTGCATCAGTCAACACAGACTCCTCTCAGGGTGAATTACAGGGATCAATATGATGATCAGTATCAGTATCAGTGTGATTCATTATTATTATACTGGGAAGAATGAAAGTTAGCAATGTGTGCCATGTAGTGTTGTCACGATACCAAAATCTTTGTTTCAGTACCAAAACCAATATGAATTTCGATACTCTTCGGTACTCTTCAGTACTTCTCCTAAGGAAAAGTCCTTTTGGATACAAACCTTTAGAAGAATAAATAGTAGGGGTGTAACGGTACCAAAAAAATCATGGTTCGGTAAGTACCTCGGTACGGACGTCATGGTTTGGTAACTCAAATGTTCCACCAAGTTGATGTTGTCTCGTGTTGTCTCCCTTTGCGAGGCAGACTTTCTCTTGTCTTTTTTCACGTGCGCCAGCTGCGAATGTTGATACAGGTGTTGTCATACACACCACTTGTGCAATCTGTGCTCCAATAGGAACAAGAAAGGCGTTTGTGTGCATAAATGAGTAAAATAAATTAACTAAATTAATGAATTGAATCAATTTCAAAGTACCAGTATTTTCCAAATGCAGTATAGTACCGTTTGGAATACACTAGTACCGCGGTACTATTTTAGTACCGGTATACCGTGCAACACTAGTGCCATGTCATGATGTGTGGAGACAAACAGCAAGCTAACAGGATGCTTAAAAAGACAATCTGACGGACTATCTAATAACAAACAGACGGAGCACTGATGTCACTGCGGTCCGTTTCTCCTGGTTTAATTCCTTCTGTGTTCATCGTTCAGGAGGTTTTTACCGCGGGCTGAATTATCCGCAGAGGTCTCTTCCTCTCCAAAACAAACAGCCTTGGTTAAAACACTGAAAAAATCAGCTTCACATGGAAAATAAAAATTTCTCCAACACTGTTGGACCCAGCAGAGGCTGGAGCTGAGCTTCTGCTGATGTTGTTTGCTCAGCTTGTTTCTCTTTAGGTCCTGACATCTGATGACTAAGATCCTTCATCCAGTTATGATATATGTTTAAGAATGAACAAGATCTAAAAGGTGTATCATGAACATGTGGCTTTAAATGGAATATTAAGTCACTTAATGACAGCTTCTGTCAGACAACCACAACCCTGACGTGTCAGCAGAGGGGATATGACGCCACTGATGGACGAACAAATGACACAGACTTTGTTCTTGATTAGAAGAGATTAAACTCTCTGTGCTTGAACATTGTTGGGATGATGTCAGTTCACAACACAACTAAATATTTAATGCAGGTCTTGTTGTTTTAGATGACTTAATACAGATATGTTACATATTATATCTTCAACAGTTATGGCTGCACAATTTATGAAACTTTAGAAAAATACAGATTAAATTGTAACGAAGAAGAAATAATAATTATTTTAAACAAATAAAACATAACATTTATTGGCAATAAAACCAACCCTGACTCTCTCTACAACACACTCAGGGGGTTGCAGCTACAGTTTAAGGGCTCCGTGTCCACGTAGCGCTCTTTTCTCAGTGCCAGCATCTTTTTTCAATCGTCCCCAACAAGGACACAGCAAACGCAGCCACAGGTGTCGGCCTAAGGAAAAATCACTGTGCCTGATGTGCTCTCTCTGAGTGCTCCGGCCTTTTTGTGCGTCCGCTCTCAGCGCTTCAAATTGAAATCTCTGAACTTTTCAGAAAGCTGCCTGTGTCATCACTACAGCTGCTGCAGCCACCGTATATCCACAGACTAAATGTCTCAGGTGAAGGTTTTGCTTTTAACACTGTACGTGTTGTGGGCTTGTTGGTTCACTGTGTAGTCAACCTCCTGTTA